AGGAGGAGGAGGAGGAGAGGAGGGAGGAGGAGGAGGAGGAGGAGGAGGAGGGAGGAGGAGGAGGAGGGAGGAATGTCGGAGGACGAAGTCGGAGAGGAGAGGAGGAGGAGGAGGAGGAGGAGGAGGAGAGGAGGAGGGTGGAGGAGGAGGAGGAAGAGGAGGAGGAGGAGGAGGAGGAGGAGGAGGAGGAGAGGACGAGAACGATAACGAGGACGAGGGCGAGGACGATGGAGGAGGAGGAGGAGGAGGAGGAGGAGGAGGAGGAGGAGGAGGAGGAGTACGAGTACGAGTACGAGTCCGGTTAGGAGGATGAGGAGGAGGAAGAGGAGGATCAGCAGGAGGAGTTTGAGGAGGAGGGCGATGAAAGAGGAGGAGGAAGAGGAGGAGGAGGAGGAGGAGAAGCAGGGGGAGGAGGGAGGAGGAAGGAGGGAGGAGGTGGAGGAGGGAGGAGGGAGGAGGATGGAGTGGGAAGGAGAATTGTGAGGAAGGAGGGAGGAGGAGCAGAAGGGGAAGGAGGAGGAGGACCAGTGGAAACTCGAGACGCGTCAGCGATGTTGCAGTCATCTTTCCCTCCAAGTTCCATCTTCATAGGTCCCTACAAGGCTCATTTCTATGGCGGGAGGTGACGTGGCCCATTGGACCACAACCGTCTGAGTGTCCTCAGGCGAGCCAAGGCACCATTCCTGAGACCTCAATGCCGCGAATCAACGTGACTGTCGCGTCCTGACAATGTCAAGCCGTGCCAGCACAGTGAATCAACAAGGTTTTCGCGTCTTGGTAAAGTCGTGCCGTAGCACAGTTGCTGGGACTTCAGCCGAACGGATACTTCAATCTGTTGTGGACATTTAAGACGAATGTGCGCGGTGCTAAGGCGAAGGAGTCATTTCTCAGGAGAAGGGATGAAGGAACAGGAGCAGGAGAAGGAGGAGGACCAGTGTAAACCCAATGCCCGTTAACCATGTTGCAATACATCCTCCCTCCACGTTCCACTTTCATAGGTCCCCACGAAGATTCATTTTCACTGAGGGAAGTGCCCCGTGGGAAGACTACCAGTTGAAAATTCGGAAGCGCTCCAGAACACCATTCCTGGAATTTCAACGCCGCGAATCAACCTTGCTGTTGTGTCCTGACGATCCTGAATCGTGCCAGACCCCCGTTTCTGGGATTTCAAACCCGCGATTTAACGTAACTGCTGCGGCCTGACAGTCCTAAATCGTGTCAAAACAGTATTTCTGGGACGTCAGCCATAGTAATGCCTTGATGCTGCTGTAAACTCTTACGAACACGGCGCTAAGGCGAGAGTCGCATTTTGAAAAGGTGTTGCCCTTCACCACTTAGATTCCTGCTGAACAATTTAGGGCACATCTGCGCGGCCCTATGGCGAGAGCCACATTTTGAAAACCGCCCGCCCTCAATCCGTGAACTCGCAAGCTTTGAGGACGAATGTGCATGGCGCCAAAGCGAGGGTTACATTTTGAAAACGGCCCGCCCTCCATCCGTGAAACTGTTGCAGATTTCGAACTTCAGGATCATAACTGGCGAGAAAGCCTCAGGCGGAACGCCCGGCCCGCCCTACCGACCCGTCTCGGGGTGCGACAGGGAGGATCTGGGATGGAGCATTGGGAGGAGGAGGATGAGGAGGAGGAGGAAGAGGAAGACGAGGAGGAGGAGGAGGAGGAGGAGGATGAGGAGGAGGAGGAGGAGGGCGAGGGTGCAGGGGAGGAGGGCGATGACGCGGAGGCGTACCATTCGCTGCTGCTCGCGGCCTCCCGTCCCCGCAGGCTGCCGCCGAGGCCGGCCGCGCCAACTGGGCCGCCTGCGAGCTGCGCTACGACCGTGCCCGGGGCCCAGGCGGCGGCGGTGGCCGCGCCTGGCCAGCAGGCGGCAGGGAGGCCCCGGCTAGTTGCGATCGATCGGGCCGATCGAAGCTCACCGAGCGCGTTCCACTACTCGCAAAGTGCCTACTCGCAGACGTCCGACAATCACATGTTTGCTTTGATGTAATGTATCGTAGATCCCCCGCGGGGGATCCAGGACATTTGCGGGTAGTTACTTTGCGAGTAGTGGAACGCGCTCGTGTAGAAACGGTTACGAGAAAAACTGCGTACAAAGGCCGACAGCATTCCTGATTAATTTTGAACAGCACTCGCTGTCGGTGTCGCCGCGGGCGGTGTCCATTTGAGACAGAAGGCCGCTTGCCCAGCAGCGGCTGCTGTCGGTTTTGGACAACTTCTGCTGTTGGGCATCGTGCCCATTGTTCGGTGCCCGTTTCGGGCGTCCCTGGCGTTTCTCGTTCTCTTTTTCGGGCTCTTGGAGGCTTCTCGTCGCCACGGCCAGATTCGCTTCGGGAGAATGGATCAGGATTCGCTACCTCATTATCCCCAGAGACTCCCAAGATCAAATCATCTAAATGAATTTTGGTGTCTGGGCTTTTCGTAGGCTGCGCAGAGGCGTTAGCGCGCTCGACGTCGACGCGCACGCGCGCGATCGTCGACGCGAGGGGTCCAGGGGCAGATTTTGTTGAGCGGATTCGGACCCAGCGGGCGAGCCTCAATTGTCTCGAACCAGGTGCTGAAAGAAAGGGACCAACAGGCACCCGCGGGGAGGCGAGGTCGCGGATCTTGGGATCGAGAAGGAGGGCAAGCTGAGACAATGGCGGCTCCTTCTCCAAGTGGGGCGACGCGGTTTCGCACGGGCGCGAGGGCGCGAAGATAACAGCACGTCGCGCATCGCGGGGCGCGATGCGCGAAGTTAAGTGACTTCGAGAACAGCCGCGGGATGGTGAGATTAATGATAAGTCACCACGACTGCAGAAAAGTCACCAGGACTGCAGGCCCTCGATCCTCGATCCAGGAGCCTCGTCCCTGTATCCTGGATCCTCGATCCTGGAGCTCGATACTGGATCCTGGATCCTCGATCATGGATCGCCGATCCTGCAGCTCGATCCTCGGCCCTGGACCCTCGAATCCTGGAGCTCGATGCTCGATCGTAGGCCCGCGGCGTTTGCAGAGCGGGGTGCTCCTCCTCCTCCTCCTCCTCCTCCTCCTCGTCTTCGTCCTCATTGCCTCTCCTCCTTTCCTCCTCCTGTTCTTCCTGACCGAGTCGGTGGAGCAGGGGGAGGAGCAGCAGGAGGAGGAGGAGGAGGAGGAGGAGGAGGAAGACCTTTCGGACCCTTTGACCAGGCGCAGGAGGGGGGCTGGGGGGCGACAGCGACCCCCGCACGGCGCAGCTCTAGCACTGGCGGGACCAGCACCAAGGGACCTCCGCGACCACGACAGCCCGTCAACCGACCCCCCCAACGGGGGGCCCGGGAGCAGCTGCCATGGCGGCCGTCGGCCACGCGCAGAGGGGGGGGGTAGGGGGAGGGGGCAAGGCTTCTTCGAGCAGCTCTGCTCCTCAGAAGGCGTGGGCCTTCTCTTCAGATGTATGGCCCGCGCCTGCTAAGAAGCTGCCTCTAAGGTGCCTTCCCCCGTCCCCCTTTACCCCCCTTCTGCGCGCCGCCATGGACGGGCCGCACTCGTCACCTGCGTTCGCGGCATGGCATCCGGCGTAACGTGCATCGAGGGCCCTCTGTGAGGCCTTCGGGAGCCCTTCGCGTCCGGGGTGATTGCCCTGCCTCCTCGATCCGACTTCGATTCCTCCTCCTCCTCCTCCTCCTCCTCCTCCTGCGCCTCCTGCGCCTCCTTCTCCTCCTTACGGCTGAGCCCCGAACAACCTGTCGCCCGGTGCCTTCCGTCCGCGGTGGCCTAGTTGCCGCACGTCGCACGACAGCTCGGCAGGAACCTCTTCTCCCATCTTTGGACTGTTATGCGATGCGTTGGCGGCTCTGCCGTCTGCCCGCACCCCTCTGCCCTTTGCCCCCCTCGACCCGCTCGCCGATCGGGGGGGCCGGAGCCTCGACCGCTCGCGTGTGGCAGTACGGGGAACACGGGCAGCTGGCACGACAGGCCTGCACACCGTGCTTCGCCACTGGCCTCCCGCCTCCTCCCAGCGGTGACTGGATGCTGCCAGTGCGGCTCTGGATTGAGTCTTGACGTTCGGATGCAACTCCTGGGAAGTCAAATTGCCCTGGTCCTACATCCGGATTCATCCCGCCTAATTGCGCTTAATCCGGCTTCATCCCGCTTAATCCCGCTTAATCCAGGTTAATCCGAGGCCCACTCTGGCGTAACGGCCCCCCAATGGGGGCTTAATCCTTTTTGATCCTTCCGACCAAAAGCTCCCAGTAGTTGCCTCCTAGTTGACGGGGCTGGCCGTCTGGCAGCCGAGGCGCGCTCTCGGCTCCGTGGATCGGCCTCCGCAGCCAGGGCCAGCGCCCGTCGAGCACGAGCTCCGACTGGGGTGCGAGCAGCATCCCGGCGGTCCGTCCTCGGTTCCCCTCCTTCCGCCGACGCCGCCCACCCGTCCCGCCGCAGATCCCGCATCCTCATCAGCCAGGGCGTTGCCCTGAAGAAAACGTGGGCCGTGCGCGGCCCCATCCATACGAGAGGATATCCACTTGAGGGCAACCTCGGTGGTTCTCTGCTGGAGGGCGGCGCGGATTCTAGACCAGATACCCTGGTTCTCACCATTCTTCTACCCGTCGCCAAAAGCAACCACGCGACCGTATTCTGGGTGGGGCATAACCTCGGAAACAGCTGCGGACCCCGACAGGCCGAGGAGGAGGAGGAGGAGGAGGAGGAGGAGGAGGAGGAGGAGGAGGAAAGACAGCGACGTGTGTCAAAGATTTGGGGGGAGCACCTCGAAGCCACAACACGGGGCACTGCTTTCACTGCGCCCGCGACTGCGGGAGTTCGCTCTCGCTGTTCTCGAACTCAGAGAGCCCTACATTGCAATCCCTCCTCCTCCTCCCCCTGCTCCTCCTCCTGCCCCTCCCCCTCCTCCTCCTCCTCCTCCTCCTGCTCCTCCTCCTCCTCCTCCCTCTCCTCCTCCTCCCCCTGTTCCTCCTCGCCCTACCCTTCGGAGTGGCGCAACCCTGCCGCCCCGTGGCCCGCCCCTCCATGACACGTCTGGTCTCTGGCTACCTGGCGACGGGGACAAGCCCTGAACACCTCGCAGCCGAGCTCCGCCTGGCGCTCTCGAGTGAGCTGCCTGCCCGAGGCCGCTGCGTTCAGCAGTCCGGCCAGATCAAAAGGCCAGTCGGACGCGAACTTGCTGGCTTCTCGCCCCACCGCCAAGCTCCAAGCCCTCCCCCCTATGGTGATTGGAAGCCTGAGCCCAGAGCTTCGATTAGACGCAAGGCCCTGGACAATATCCGTTACTGGGTCGGTGCAGTCTGCATCGTCCAGACCAAAACCTTCGTCCTTGCTGGGGAGTCTCCATGGCTCGCTGCCCTCCTCCAATGACCGCCGCCATAAGTCAGGATCAGCTGTAACCCACCCCGCCTCGCACACAGTGACAATCACCGCGCAAACTGGGCCTGTCTCCACCTGCTGCGTTTCTGCCAGACCCTCGGGGTGAGATGCTTCCACGCCGCGTGAAGCTTTGGCGAAAATTTCCAATTCAAGAAGAACTCGAGGACAAACTGACGCGGCGACTCCAATCCTGGGTCCTTGGACCCCAAATTCAGATAGACCGCACTCGTGGGGCCCGACAGACTAGAAGGGGGACCCCAGCTTGAAGCTACCCCCCTCCCCCTTCTTTGCTAAAGGGGGGGGGGGCTTCGGAAGCCCCCCCCCCTCCCTCTCCAAGTTGAGCCGGGGTGAGCCACCCCCCCCCCTTTGAAAGGGCGGGGGCTTCGGAAGCTACCCCCCCCCCCTCCCTTTTCCTGGCCGGAAAGGGGGGAGGGGGCTTCCAAGCTACCCCCCCCCCTCCCTCCTTTTAATGGAGCTGGGGTGAGCCACCCCCCCCCTTTGAAAGGGGGGGGCTTTGGAAGCCCCCCCCCCTCCCTCCCTTGGTGCAAAAGGGGGGGGCTTGAAGCCCCCCCCCCTTCCCCCCTTTGGCCGCCCAGCTCCCGGAGCCATCGCCCTCCCTTTCGCCTCCATTTATTCCCGCCCCTCTCCCTCCTCCTCTTCTTCCTTTTGCCTCCTCCTCTTCCTCGTCCTCCTCATCCTCCTCATAGTCATCATCGTCATCATCATCATCATCATCATCATCATCATCATCATCATCATCATCACCATCACCATCATCATCATCATCATCATCATCATCATCATCATCATCATCATCATCATCATCATCATCATCATCATCATCATCATCATCATCATCATCATCATCATCATCATCATCATCATCATCATCATCATCGTACTCCCCCGCAGGTCCTTCCGTTCCGTTCCTCCTCCTCCTCCTCTCTCCATTTTTCCCTCCTCCTCCTCCTCATCCTCCTCTCCTACTCCTCATCACCATCATCATCATCCTCCTCTCCTCCTCCTCCTCCTCCTCCTCCTCCTCCTCCCTCCTCCTCTCCTCCTCCTCCCTCTCCTCCTCCTCCTCCTCCTCCTCCTCCTCCTCCGCCTCCTCCTCCTCCTCCTCCTCCTCCTCCTCCTCCTCCTCCTCCTCCTCCTCCTCCCTCCTCCTCCTCCTCCTCCTTCTCCTCCTCCTCCTCCTCCCCCCCCTCATTATTCCGCCTCCTCCTCCTCCTCCTCCTCCTCCTCCTCCTCCTCCTCCTCCTCCTCCTCCTCCTCCTCCTCCTCCTCCTCCTCCCCCCTCCGCCTCCCCCATCCTCCGCCTCCTCCTCCCCCAGCTGGCCGCCGTCTTACACGAACACTGCCAAACCCGACGGGCTGGCGTTCTCCGAATTACACTTCGTGCAACTTTCGGGTGGAACAGTATTTTTCCCAACCCTCCTTGGTTGGGTATTCGTTTTGAATAGAGCAGTGTGGTCTCCACTTCCTCCTTCCCGTCCCGTCTGCCTTTTGCCTCCTCCTGTCTTGCCTGCGGGGGGCTGCGATCTGTGAAACTGTCGCCACTTTCGAGGCTTGCTGGGGGGCCCAGCACAGTGACGCCACGGGCGGACCCAAATTAGATCTCGCCGTCCCTGGGGGGCTGCAATCTGTGAAACTGTCGCCACTTTCGAGGCCTGCTGGGGGGCCCAGCACAGTGACGCCACGGGCGGACCCAAATTAGACCTCGCCATCCCTGGGGGGCTGCGATATGTGAAACTGTCGCCACTTTCGAGGCTTGCTGGGGGGCCCAGCACAGTGACGCCACGGCGGACCCAAATTCGATCTCGCCATCCCTGGGGGACTGCGATCTGTGAAACTGTCGCCACTTTCGAGGCCTGCTGGGGGGCCCAGCACAGTGACGCCACGGGCGCACACAAATTAGGCCTCGCCATCCCTGGGGGGCTGCGATCTGTGAAACTGTCGCCACTTTCGAGGCCTGCTGGGGGGCCCAGCACAGTGACGCCACGGGCGGATTCAAATTAGACCTCGCCATCCCTGGGGGGCTGCGATCTGTGAAACTGTCGCCACTTTCGAGGCCTGCTGGGGGGCCCAGCACAGTGACGCCACGCGCGGACCCAAATTAGACCTCGCCATCCCTGGGGGGCTGCGATCTGTGAAACTGTCGCCACTTTCGAGGCCTGCTGGGGGGCCCAGCACAGTGACGCCACGCGCGGACCCAAATTAGACCTCGCCATCCCTGGGGGGCTGCGATCTGTGAAACTGTCGCCACTTTCGAGGCCTGCTGGGGGGCCCAGCACAGTGACGCCACGCGCGGACCCAAATTAGACCTCGCCATCCCTGGGGGGCTGCGATCTGAGATCCCCGCTTTCGAAGTGGCTAGGGTTGCTCAGGGATTGCAACTAATCAGCTTTATCTAGTCCTTGTCCTGAAGCCAGTGTCCTGCGAGTCTCCCGAATTCCGTCTGCAGACATATGTAACCCTCGCTCCGTCATCGCCCCCCTTATAAAGTGTCCTAAACTATTTGCGCCCCGCGTTTGCGCAGGGGTTGGGTACGTCGCCAGGGTAATTTTTCGTTCCCGGGCGTTGGCACGGGACGAGTTGAATGATACACTTGCGTTGCAATCGATTGCAATCCATTGGATTGCAAACGATTCGATTGCAATCCATTGGATTGCAATCGATTGGATTGCAATCGGTTGAATTGCAATCGATTCAATCGATTGGATTGCAGGGGAGGGACAGGACGGAAGGGAGGGAGGGGAGGAGAGGGAGGGGAGGGAGGAGATGGAACGAAGGGTGGGGAGGGAGGGGAGGGAGCGGAGGGAGGTGGGGAGGGGGATTGCAGTGGAATGGGGTGCAATCGATTGCAAGCGATTCGATTGGGATTTTCGATCGTCGATCGTTGATCGTCGATCGTCCATCCTCGATCGTGGATTGTTCAAATTGGATCGTCGGCGAAAGGGAGGGCGGAGGCTCCGGGGGCTGGGCGGCCAAAGAGGGGAAGGGGGGGGGGGCTTCCAAGCTCCCCCCCCTTTGGCACAAAGGGGGGGGGGGGGGCTTCCAGCAGGGCGGCTCCAAGGGAGGGGGGGGTAGCTTAAGCACCCCCTCCCTTTGGAAAGGGGGGTAGGGGGGGTGTAGCTTCCGGGGCGGCCCAAGGGGGGTGGGGGGGCTAGCTTCCAACCACCCCGCCCCTTTGCACCCCTGCGTTGCCATTCCGACTCCAGCCCCGCTTTCCCAGAATATCATTTTTCCGACTCTGGATACCTCTCCGACTCCAGCTCTTATCTCCGACTCCGGCTCCGACCTCACCATCTCCAGCTCGTATCTCTCCGACTACAGCTCCGATTTACTGAAGTCGTCTATCCAGCTCCGGCTCCTAATTCTCTGGCCCCTGCGCTCTCCGGATCCATCCCACATCTAACATATATTCGTTTGTTTGACTCCGGCGCCTCTCCGATTCTATCCGACTCCGGCTCCGACCTCACCACCTCCATGTACCTCTCCGACCCTACGTTCTCTCCGATTCCGTCTCAGAAGATCGATCCCATTCTTCCGACTGCGGTTGCCCAAAGTCGACTCCAGAGTCTGAGAGGCCAACATCGGCGCCCCGGCGCCCACCCGCTGCACCCGCGTAGGTGCCTTCTTGCGGGACTGTGTCTGTGTCTGTGTGTCTGTGTGGGGGGAGGGGGGGGGGTAGCTTCCAGCAGGGCAGCGCCAAGGGAGGGGGGGGGTAGCTTAAGCACCCCCCCCCCTTTGGAAAGGGGGGGAGGGGGGGGGGTAGCTTCCGGGGAGGGCCCAAGGGGGGAGGGGGGGTGTAGCTGTCAGCCCCCCCCCTTGCAAAAAAAGGGGGGGGAGGGGAGGGTGCTTCCAACAAGGGCGGCTCAAGGGAGGGGGGGTGGGTGGGTAGCTTAAGCCTAGACCCCCCCTCCCCTTTGCTCGGGCCCTGTGGGCGCGCTCTCTCAAATTCATGGCCACGATGCTCGTCAGACACCTGCCAGAGCCAGAATTTGCAATCGACTGGCCCGTCTGCCTACGGAGAGCCTGGACAGCACCGGGACCGATGCCGTGCACCTGGTGCCCACCGGGCGGCTCGGGGGGGAGAGCTCCGATTCTCCACAGCAGTTCGGCAGACCCGCGAAGCTTCCTGATTCTGCTAGCGCGCTTTCGGGCCCTCCCCGATCTGGCCCTGACTTTCTCTACATCTCGTGCCCTGCTCAGAGTGGTGCCCTGCATCTCGCTGCCTCGTGTGGTGTGCCTGCCTTCTGATATGCTGTTGGCGCACTCGACTCCTCGCCTCGGCAGACGTTGCAAGGACCGTGGTCTTGTCAGGCACGACCAACCCGGCGTCCTGCAATCCTACTGTTGGCTCAGTGCTGGCAGCCATCAAGGCCGCTAGCACACTAAGATCCGTGCCTTCAGCTCGCGAAGCTGTATCGCCTACGAAAGTCCACAGCCCACAAACCTTCACACTCCTATAGGTTCGGTCCAACATCAGGAACAGGATAAGCTTCGCCACAGGGAGGAAAGGAGGAGGAGGAGGAGAAGACGATGAGGATGAAGATGAAGATGAAGATGAGGATGAGGATGCGGATGAGGAGGAGGAGGAGTAGTAGGAGGATGAGGAGCAGGAGAAGGAGGATGATCTG